CAAGCGAAGAAAAGACAAACATCTCTGTCTTGCCTCACGGCAGATGGGGAGCGTACGTTAACAGGAAGTTCCTGTTTTTTGATGCTAATGTTGGTCACGTGACCAGGAAGTGACGATGTCAGATTTCCACTGTACCACGCGGGCGTCAGCCATTACACATATAAGTCAAGATGGCGGCACGCATCGCATCTCAGTGAGACCACAGCCGCACTTATCCATTGTGGGAGCTTAAGAAGCATTATCTGTAAGTTGTTTATATTCCTCTAATATTGGAAATGCTGTTGTAATGTTGGAATGACCGTTATAGCAATGTAAATGCCTTTATGGTGCCGTTAAGTTGTTGTAGTAAATACGAGGCCTAGTTAGTAACGATGCCTGTGACTTTCCTTATTGTGGATGTTACTTGTGATTTAGTAGGTCGAGTCAGACTTGTGCCTATGTTGCGATCCTGAGAGTGATAACGAAGTATCTCATCCACAGTTTAGTGTTAAGTGTAATGCTGTACATTTGGGGTGCAGTGGGATGAATACACTTGTGCCTTTGTCTAGTTGTTCAAGGGTAACGTGGTGGCCTGGTCCTTCCAGGATCTATTGTTATCTGAGACAATGTTCTGATGCTGTGGTGTTCATTGTGTGGGTGTTTCCGAATTATAACAGATGCTGTATCTGTGTTTTCTCACTAGTTTTACCTGTTAAATCAATAAATGACGATCGGAGTTGGACGGTCATCCTGGCTTCGAGGGTTTATTGAACACATGGTTGTCTACTCGACTAGCGGTGCAACGCAGCGCACAGCGAGGCCGAGATAATCTCGCCACCGTGGCGCCCATGCGGCGCGCAAGTTGCCCGATGCACGTGTAGCCGTCGAGTTGGAATCGGCCGACGTGGGCACGCAGACGAGATCGGCCGCTGAATTCCCCTCGGTGAGTTTCGAGGGGGCAATTGGAGGGGTCGGGCCTCGGAACTCGACGATTGTTGACGGCGTCGTGGCCGATGGTCCGACGGTTCAGTTCGATGATCGGGCCCTGGGGCTCTTCCATCGCTTTTGTGCACTTGTTAAATCAAACATTGAAAACTCATTCATTTGGAACTGCCCTTGAGTTTGCTGTCCTTCCGCCGTACGGTGCAAAAGAAGTTAAACATACCGTACATACGAGATCCTGTTAGCGGGTTGGTCGGTCTGCTCCAGGATCAGTTTGAAGGTCGGCCACAGTGTCGGTCGTTCACGTTCGTTTCAAACGTTCACGGGCGTTGCGATGGCCAACATCGGGACTGGTTGTAGTTTTGAGGGGCACGTGCTATAATGGCACCACCGCTTCACCAAATCGATGACCGTGTTCCTGGGTCAACTGTGCATTGCACCGTGGCATCAATGTGCTGTGTCGTTGGCTGGCATTGCCTGTTGGGCATTCTTGTAATCTTGCGGTGCAATGACTGACTCATTCCAGCAGCATGCTCAGTGCATAGTTGCGACTCGGGGTTACAATTTGATTCCAGACTCATTTATTTCTATTTTATAACCGCACTGGGTTGCGTGTGAGTAGTTGCACGAATGAGACCGGTGTTGACAAACGGGTCTGAGAGGTTGGACCAGTGAGGGAGCAGGCGTTGTGCACCGCAGGAATGAGGACGAGATGATGGATGCCGGGCACCGTGAGAAAAATCGATCTGGGTGAGAAACTGAGAGAGGAGGGAGACGGCAAGAATGGTGGTGGCCATCTGCAGACGAGGTGCGAGAGAAGGTGACTCCGTCGGTGAGGGCACGCCACACGCACGGAGGAAAACCACATGGGGAGGTATAGCCCTGTGAGCCATTCGGCTCTTGAATCGGGTGCAACCGCAACAAACAAAAAAACATGAACAAGAAGGTGAAGCAGAAGGTGATAAGAAGCTGAAGAATTTAGAAGTGGTGGAGACCGAGGGGCAGGCCTGGAGAAGACAATGGGGCCAAAGTGGTGAACTCAGAGGGGCTGCGTTGTGGACGTGCAGATGATGTCCCAGCGCAGGAATTTGTGGAGAAAGAGGATTAGGAATGCAGATCCCATCACGCGAGTGGGGATCATTCCATGTGGAGGAGGCGTACAGCTGTTATAGCCACACCAGTCAATGCATGGGGAACGCTGGCGCATTCAGCCAGATCAGTCGCAACCGGCGGTGGTGGAGGGAACAAGCGGAACTTGCCGGATAGGCCATCCCCTCCTCCGATGCAAGATTTTAATTTCATCGACTGCGCTCTGCAAATTACAGAAGCCCCCACCAGCCCCCAAAGTCCCGTCTCGAGACTCTAGCGGCCCTCGTGTTTCCACGGCGAGAGTTGCACTGATGGCATCGCAGCCGCGCGAGACGTCACAAGCTGACACGGCGCGTTTGTTCCTCGGCCCTGGCTGCGAGGTCCTCTATCGAAAAGAGTTAGGCGTTTATAAGTGAAGAGTAAATCTCAACTTACAAAAAAAATTAACCCGTAAAAACAAAGTTTTTCACTATAAATCCTTTATATGCGTGGCATCGGTTTTATTTTATTATTCATTTCTGTTTTTCTTGAGTAAGAGTTTCATTTTTATCACATTGGTATTTGAAATTAAATATGAAAAAAAAATTCCTAAAAAGTGGAAAATTTAGGAATTTTTTTTCACGAAAATAAATTGTCACGCACAACGAGTCTGTGTGCAAAATGTCAGCTCGATTGGATCACGGGAAGTGGGTTAAAAAACGACCGAAAGATTTGCACGGTCGTAAGCACGCAAGCAAGCAAGCAAGTGAACTTAATATAAAGGATTTAAAAAGAAACAACCCGACGCTTTCGTGTGTGTGTGTTTTTGAAGTAAATTCATATTCTTAGCTTTTGCTCGAGACAGGTGACTGTGCACACAAATAACGCGTTAATCTAAACGCAAATGAAATGAACACTTTTGACATGTTCCTTTTTTAATACAAATTCTTATTACTTTTTTCCATTACAGTTTTATCAACTTTCCTTTGTACAAAATGTTTCTTTACATATTATTTGAAAAAAAAACATTCTCCATTTTTAAACAGTTTTAATACAGGAATCATAAAGGATGCTTCGACACATCCACCAGTGCTCAAGAGTACAGTACAGTGCTGTGTTCTCATCGCCCGCCACTCCTTCTCACCCCGGCACATCAGCGCCACCCTCGCTCCCATTCCTCCAGGAACAAACCGACCAATTGATGATTTATTCTGAACATATATTTTTTCTAACGCGGTTGGGCCACGTTAAATTGAGCATTGGCCGGCTGATTCCCCGAAGGTGGTGGAGGGGGGAGGGAGCTGATTAAAATCAAGTCTCTGAGCGATTCTGAAGCGACGCAAAACAACGTTCGGATTTGATCTTTGCGATCCGTCGGAATAACGTTTGCATTTCAAATTGTCCCCCGCCCCCTCCGCCTGCAGTCATCGGGCGTGACGAGATGAAGTGAATTAAAAGCGTTTGCCTTGTTTTGTTTGTTTGTCGGCTACGCTACGAAGCAGCATTGCCTCTGCTAGGAGGCCCACATACGTGGTGTCCAGTGTACCGCTCTTACTGCGAGGGAATGCCTCCATTCAGGCGTTTGCAATCGTCGTGCGCAGTGCTTCGACAGAAAGTTTGTTGAACCGGCTCATCGCGGCGTGTGAGGGTCATGATGGCAACTCGATTCTCGGGACGACAGCGAAGGCGTTACGTGGGTAGCAAGCCACGGTTTCTTGTACACGTCGGTTTGTTATGTTTTCAACGTCACCGTGGTGACTAAAAAAACTCGAGTTTCATGCACACTTCAAAGTAACTATTTTGATACCATTGGAACCTCATTTGCCAGTAGCAAAATATGATAATTGTTTTTTTTACCCATTTATCTGGCAACAAAACTGACACCTTTTTTTACAAGGAGTCATGTTTGCATTGACTACAATACCTACGGTCGGAATGCAAACAAAAAACACAGCTCTGATAATGTATGTTGTGCGCCTTTTGGCGTCTTCTGGTCCAACACCATGTGAGACTAGGCTCTAAGGAAAGCTGTCTCGGGTGTGGACCAATCAATTTCAAGGACAGTGCATACATTATCAGAGTTGTGTTTTTTGTTTGCATTCCGACCGCAGGTATTGTGGTCAATGCAAACATGACTCCTTGTAAAAAAGGTGTCAGTTTTGTTGCCAGATAAAAGGGTAAAAAAACAATGATCAACTATTTTGATGCTCGTTTCACTGGCAGGTCTTTAAGGTTACGGTGTGTTGTTTAAAGTTAATTTCACAGCCAGCCACTGCGTTAGTTGCCTTTCCTGGAAAATCCTTCTTGTAAAGTTACGTGCTCGGTGACCGCACGCATTCACAATTAGTCTACATTTATGCGACCTGACCCTACACAACCAACCATTTGCACGACGTTCATCATCGACAATTTGAAAATAAACACGCAATTTTAGATTGCCAAGTGGTCCTGCGAATCGAGTCATCCCATCGTTTAACACGAAGTAGGCTTTCACGACCGGTGCTATCCATAATAGAGGGTTTTCTTTGGGTGAGATCGCATACATCATGTATGTTGAATAACTGTGAATAACCCAACTCATTAATAGATATCCATTGTAATGTATGTGACTACATTAACCCCCACCCCCACTCGGGTCTTCGCACCCGATTGGCTCACGAGTGGTGACGTCACATTTAGCCCCTCCTCGATTTAAGGTCGAAACAGGAGGGAGGATTTCTCCACAACTCTCTGGCAGTCTTCTTGGTTCTTTCGGTAAAGTCACGTAGAAGGGAAACAATAAAAGAATAAAAATAAAGCATGATAAATGGTATAAAATGATGATTTAAAGCTTTCGTGACTGCAGGGATTCATCTTCTTGGTTCTTTCGGTAAAGTCACGTAGAAGGGAAGTAATAAAAAAAAATAATTTTATTATGTTTTATTTTTATTATTTAATTACTTCCCTTCTACGTGACTTTACCGAAAGAACCAAGAAGATTATAAAATGATGTTTTATTTTTTATTATTTTATTATTTCCCTTCTACGTGACTTTACCGAAAGAACCAAGAAGATGAATCCCTGCAGTCACGAAAGCTTTACATCGAAATCTCTGGCAGTCGCCTGATGAGGCTGGCTGCTGCTGTTGTTGTTGTTGTAATTGCCGGTGCAACGTCACGGTACTCGAACGGTAAATGTCGTGGTGGGTTTAACTCCACCACACACAACCGGCGTGCTAAACTCGGAACTAATTGGCACGTTTCGTTTAAGTGACAAAGCTCACCGATTTTGGCTGCGTCGGGTGGTGCCGGGTTTAACGACACAGTTCTATTTAATGCGATCTAACCCGAACACCCTCCCCCCACTCTCAAAAAACATCTTTTATGGATATCCCATTTCGATTTAAAGCTTTCGTGACTGCAGGGATTTATCTTCTTGGTTCTTTCGGTAAAGTCACGTAGAATGGAAATGATAAAATAATAAAAATAAAACATAATAAAGTAATTCTCACGACGTTTCGGCCACAGGTCTGTCTTCTCGACAGACCTGTTCTCCACCTGAGGACGGCTGCTTGCGTTGTGGCCGAAACGTCGTGAGAATTATTTTATTATGTTTTATTTTTATTATTTTATTTATTTCCATTCTAATTGATTTTAGCGAAAGAACCAAGAAGAGGATATCCCATTGTTCATTCTTTTTTTTCTCACAAGCAGCACAGTCTGATTAGAGACGCCCTGCGACCCCCACAGAGTCCAGTGGTAACGCTTTACGTTCAGTGCGCGTCGTGGCGTTCTCGCGTCCAGTAGGGCAACTAAAAGGGAGTGAGTTGGGGAACCCCTCGAGAGTTAAATAACACAACACTGGACGCGTCTTTCCGAGTCGTTGTTGGGCTTTGGGGCTGGTGGTGGTGAGAAGGACGAGCAGGCTGCTTCACGTTAACATGATTGTTCATAATCGAGGTTTATTTTGGAGTAAGATCGTGTAAATATAAATGTCTAGTTAAATCCGCCACTGCCCGACACAGCCAACTTGTAAGGTTTGTCACGTGAACAGAACGTGGCCAATTCGTTACTAGTACAGCACACCGGTGTGTTAGAGAGCAAATCCACAACATTTACAACATTTACAATGTTTACACAACATTTACAATGTTGCGGATTTGCTTTGAAACACACGCGTAACGAATCGGCACGTTTTGTTTACGTGACAAACCTTCCTAATTGGCCGTGTTGGGTGGCGGCGGGTTTTGGCGACACATTTTGACGCGATCTCACCAAAAAAAGCTGAATCATGGACGAGATTGTTCGCGAAAGCCTCCTGCGTCTTGTCAACATCACTGCCTCGCTCTGCCTCTCTCTCTCCGCAAGCAGCTTTGGCGAAGCAACGCAAGCCCCCCCCCCCCCCCACGAGTGGTTTTGTCCCAAAAAGTAAAACGCTTTTTATATATATAAGCTGACCAGCAACGATAATAATAATGATGGTGCTGATGATGATGACCACACAAACAACAACAACAACACCAGCTTGGCACTCGCGTTAGCACTCTGTATTATCAATCCACTTTGAGGGGTGGGTGGAGGGAGGTTAAGAAGCCATCTGTGTGCCACTAGATGGCATGCGAGGATAGCGGGTTTCAACAACGTTGACAAACGATTCGACATCGATAACATTGCAACATCATCGGTGAACGGACCCCAAGGCCAACCACCCGATAGTTTTATTTTGTGTGTTCTTCTTCTTCCTGAAACATTTCTTGTAACGTTTCAACAGGCACAATGGTTTACGCCTCCCCCCCCCCCCAAGATCGATACAAAAACAACAAAATACCAGAAAATGAATACGGTAGGAGGGTAATCGAATGGGAGCAAGTAAAAAAAAGATGCTGCGGGCAATAATTGAAAACTTTCAGGATCGCGCGGTCATTTATTTTGCAGCCGCAGAGGTCGGCGGGGGGCGGGGGGGTGTCCAACGTTGGAAACGAAGTTTGTTTACTCACTTCCCAGTTACCCCCTCCTCCTCCTCCCCCCACTGCCACATCGGTTACAAACGACGAGCGAAGGACAAGTTTCACGCAAAGAAGCCCCCTCCAGCCCAGCCGTGGAAGCACCAAGGATTTAGCACAATCCGTGCGAAAGCACGCCCGGTCGCTGAGCCATTGTGCAAGTTTCTCAACGCCTATATTCACCCCCCCCCCCCACGACTTCCCCAACTAATCCCGTCGATTATTTCTAGCGAACGACGACGGGTCAGTTCAAGGCCTGCGAAGATGTGCCATGATGTAGGAGGAGGTGGGGAAGGTGGGTGCGAGTGGGTGGGATTGATGTGCAGAATGAGAGAACGGCCACTCTCTCGTGCGTGTGGCGGTGGCTCCAGGTTGTAAGAGAGGGGGCGACAAAGTCAAGCTCTCGGGTTTTCCATCTCGGGTGGGCGACCACCACGCCGGTGGCTTCATTGAGAAAGCACGTGGCTTCGTCACCACCACTTTCGCCCAGCGCTGGTTGCAAATCGCCACCGCGCACCGACGACGCCCTTCGTGATCTAAGCTCTCGATGAGACCCATCGACCTCTTAACACAGAGGGGCCAGGCAGGCATTTCAACGCAGAGACAGCTCTGGTAGGAGAAGCCCAGCAAAGGCTCGCCATCGTTTGAATCAGGGCCATGCATTTGCCACTGCGTTTCAATCGCCGGTTGGCCCATCACCTGAGGCTGGACAAAAAAAAAACCAGAGGTGGACCACGCCGATCTCCGCAGTCTGCAGAAACAACAACCGCCTCGTGGTCATTTTGGGTGTCTTGATTCCGAGGTGGATGCGTGATAAGAGTCTCACTGCCGTGACGTTGGACATCGCCGTGACGCACTCGATCCCTACCGTGAGCCCAGCGTTGACACGAGCGCCTCATCAACATTCAAGTGCGGCGTAGGTGCAGCAGTTTGGAATGTACCAATCGGTAAAAAGGTAGCGTTTTGTTTCTTCTACGGTAATTCATTAGGCGGGTAACAGTGCATCGATTCATTATTCTCAGCCGGACTCTACCATTCTAAAACCACCACCCCTCTCCCCTGCTCACGTAATATTACCCCTTATTTTAGTTGTTGGTTGTTAGGCTGCTCCTATGCACAGTGTAACGTTGCTGAGTTCGTTATTTACTCGTTGGCCCATGGTCAACCCCTTTGCAAAAAAAATAGATTTGTAGTTACCGTGGGTTCTCAACCGGTAAAGTAAAGGCAAACTGACTGAAATCTCGCGCTCACAACCGCAAGCGCTGAGTCGCGAGAAAATAACCGAGTCGCACGGCTAAGAATGTAATGACCGTATCCCCGGGCAATGCCTCACTGAGGTCTCAATGCTATCTTCCAGGAGGGTGCCAGCCAAATGGTCACATTAGGGGCGACAGTACACAATCCCAAATCGAGTAATTTGCAGGAGCTGTGATTGTTTTTGTTTGTCAGCATGTGGGGGATGTTTGTCCAAGACCAAGTTACATCGTGTTTTTTGTAGCCATTGCAGGAAACTGCAGAACCCCGGAGAGGGAACCCCATGCAGAACACGGGGAGAACATACTAACTCCACGCAAGTAGGAATCGAACCGGGGCCCGTCTTGCTGTGGGGCGCGAGTGTTAGCGCTGGGCTACTCTGCCACCCTGATAGATTTTTATTGATCGTGTGTACCGTGTGTGTGTGTTGTGTGACGGGTTCACGTGATCCCTGCAGCCAGTAGAAATTCCGTACGATCCACAATGGCAAAAAAAGAATCCTCTTGGTTCTTGATTTCCAGGTGGGAATCACGAATCTGAGTCAAGCCAATTCATCGAGTCATCGGGGAGTGAATGTTCGTCACGCCTAAATTATTCACCCGGGTTGTGGGCAACGTTGATCATTGCTCGTAACTTTTAACAGAAGAACAATGTGGTTGTACAGAGTGCATGTCGTTAATTCTAGATTTGAAGCTTTCGTGACTGCAAGGATTCATATTCTTAGGTTTTTTCGGTAAAGTCACGTAGGTAATTTTAATTTTTTACCTACGTGACTTTACCGAAAAAACCTAAGAATATGCATGTCGTTAGACACAAGCCGTATGTTTACACGGGTGTGAGTTTCTCTGCTGAGGTCAACCCAACGACATTTAGTAACGATGGGGAAAATGAGGTAGGGACAGAAACAGATAAGTATTATTCAAAAGGGCCTAAAACCAATGACGACGGTTCAAGAAAAGCATGCGAAGCTTTATCGTGGGGGGGGGGGGGGGGGTGGATTGTTCACAAAAAATAACATAAAAATAACATTGCATTGTGTAAATGAAAAAAAACAAAGGTGCAAGATCATTTCCACGAAAATTTGTTCAAAGGCGTTAGCGGTCACACGAGGATATGTATGCTTCATCTGCAACGACCACGATTGCCTCGTGTCCTCGAGCTAAAGAGACCGTTACATGCACGCCACGTGCACAGTGACAGGGTAGTGACGTCACTATCCTGCGTGACAGCGTTGCTACGTCACAACGTGCTGGGTAGACATTGACTCCAACGGCCCAGTGTTCATTGCTCTATACCTTTTCTTTTCTTAGAAAATAACTGTTTAGCTTAATTATTTTCGGGCTTTTTTTTACTTTTGTGAGATAAATATGTTCACTGACAGTGTCCAAAGATCGTTCTGTTGCCTCCGTCTCGTGTCATTTAGATTCGTAGGCTCAGAAAGGTCGAGATTTGTTTGTTACAGTATTTTTTGCCGAAAATAAATACATGTACAGGTGCCTTTTCTCGATCCACTGCTGGATGAAGGCGGTCTCCCTCACCAAAGAGTGTGTTGGAGAAAGTGGCCAGTTCAGATATTGCTCACCAATCGATGTTGCCCATGGCTCGGAAATTTAACTCAGGTTAACGGTTTTAAGCACAGTGCCACCGACCAATGCATTTCCACTTCCACCTCCCCTGCCGTCCTTTTATTACCGATTGCCTTATTTTAAAAAAAAACAACTTAATTATCATCCTTTTAATATCTTAAATAAAATAGAGAAAGGTAAGCGGAGTCCACTTAGGCCTTGGACCGTAGGCCCGAAGGAAACGCCACCATAGCATTCGTGAAGCTGCCACATTTCACATTGACCCTTTACAGGAAAAAACTCTTACCAACGACGGGCAGGTGGCATCAGTAAATGTGCTTCAGGGAGATGCCGCAACATATAAAACTAGAGGATCAAACATATACAGATCAACAAAATAAAGCCTCAATACTTATTATATCTGGCTATCTTACAAACACAGTGCTCTGAATTTTTTTTTATATATATATAAACTATTGCCAGTTTAATCGGCTACATTGAGTGCGTAAAAAACTGTCACAAAGTGTGGGGGGGGGGGGGGATTTTGTTCCCTCATCTGAACAAAGTCATCGTGACACTTTATTTAACGTGTGGTGTTTATATCCTCCCTTTAATGCGTGTGTATAAGTGTTTTTAAATAGCGAAGTGGTTCCTTGCACCGAACTACGGAACCCGGCGACCGAAGATACCTGAACCAGGTCCTGGGCCTCCCCTTGGTCGACTCAGCCTCAAATAAGTAGCTTGTAAAGTATGAGTATTGGAGAGACAAAGGCGGCTGGGAGTGATGCCAGCCACAGAACTCCCTCGTGCGCCGTACCGGACTTAATAGGTGTTCTCTAGCAGTGCTCGCTTCAACAAGATATATAAGGCTACGTGTTGGGAGGGGGCTGTCTTTGTTGTTTTGTTTCCCATTGGAAGGTTCCGATTTGGAAATGAATTGTACAGAAAAATGTTAATACAAATATGAAAAAAAATTGTTTACTTTTCATGTTTGGGTTTAAGCTGTTTAATAGTTGGAAAATAATTTGTGGAAGTTGCGTGATATGTTAGTGAATCCTTAAGTTCTTTGTTCAAAGTCGACAACCGAGCCATATGCATTGGACAACGTTCTACAAAGACGCAGCCCTGTAGCCTTTAGTCTCGCTAAAAAGATTTGACACATTCGGCAAATGAGCCATTTGAGGGTGGGAGGAAAAAAACGGAGCGCTCGGAGAAAACCCAACGCATGCGAGGAGGGATAATGGAAATCCATACAGATAGTTCAGGGAACCTACTTGCTGTACCATTTAACTGGTCAACGGTGGTTTGTAACACGTACAGACGAACCAAAGTGCTCGATTCACAGGCGTACGCCACCACACTCACACACACAAAGACAAAAATCCCCCGTGTAGCCTTAACAGACGGTAGGAGCAAGCGCTGTTAGCGAGCAGCACCTATGAAGGCCGTCACGGCACACAAGGGGGTGGGTTGCCAGCACCAAGCCTGGCCATCTTGTCTCCCTGGTGGTGATGTTTACACATCGCACCAGGTACTCATTTGAGGCTGAGTCAACCTAGGGGAAGCCCAGGATCGGTTCAGATAATCGTCACTGGGTGTTGACCGTGAGCGGGAATCAAACACACACACACACGCGTGCGTTTTGTTCTCAAGATAAACGCGTCACAATAAACCGGTAAATGCGAGCGCGTGGACTTGACCGGCCGTGCGCGCGTGCGCACTGCCTTTCGAACTTTGTGAAAGAAACAACAACATAAATACGATGACGGCGACCGCACTACCGGCGTGCTCGCCGCTTGCATACGCACACCACCACACAGGCACGTGCGCGCGCACACGCGTACGTGGTGCACGACGCCCGATCGCTCTCACTGCGCCGCCGCGACGCTCGACAGCAGGTTGCAGTGGAACTTGCGGATGTGGCGGTAGAGATCGCCCGACTGCGTGAAGCGCCGCTCGCACCACTTGCAGGCGTGCGGCTTCTCGCGCGTGTGCACCACGGCGTGCCGGCTCAGGTTGTGCGAGTACTGGAAGCTCTTGCCGCACGTGGCGCACGTGTACGGCTTCTCGCCCGAGTGCGTGCGCTCGTGCCGCCGCAGCGTGTACGCGCACGAGAATGTCTTGCCGCACTGCGAGCACGTGGGCGTCCCCACGCCGGATCCGGACGCGCCGACGCCACTCGCCCCGTTCCCCGACGCTCCTCCTCCGCTGCCGCCGCCGAAGCCGAACTGGCCGCCGCCGCGTTGGAGCGGCGCCGCCTTCCCGCAGCGCCGGGCGTCCGTGTCGCAGAAGTGGGCGCTCAGGTGCATCTGCAGCAGCTGCGGCGCCGGGAAGATGCAGCTGCAGAGGGGGCAGGCGAACACGCCGGCCGCGGCGGCCGCGGCCGCGGCCGCGGCGGATACAAACGGCAGGGCGTAGGCAAACGCCTCCGCGGGCGCCCCTCCCGCCGCCACCAGTTCGTGGCTCTGCCTGCCGATCCCCGCCGCGCAGGGGCCGCCGCCGCCGACGCTGCTGGCGTCGGAGCGAGGGCTGCCGTCCGTCTCCGTCGGCGAGGAGCCACGCTCGTCACCGCTGCCGCCACCGTCGCCGCCAATGCCGCCTGCGAGTGGCGCGGCGGGTCCGGCCTTCCTCACCACGCTCTCGTACCGCGGCAGATGCGGATGCAGCTCCCCCAGGAGCCCCTCCTCATCCTCCTCGGGCTCGGCGGCCTCACGGTCCGGTTTGACGGCGCACGGTAGCGGCTTGCGGCGCCGCTCGGCCTCCACGTGCCACGCGGGGGAGGGGAAGCGGGTGGGCAGCACCGGCCTGAAGGACAAGTCCAGCGCGCGGTCGTTCTCCACGTCGCTGCCGTTGCTCGTCGCTGGAGAAGCCTTGGCCCAGCGCTCCACGTCGTTCCGGCTTCCCCCAGGAAACTTCCCGTTGAAGACCTTGTCCGGCTCCTCCATCCTCCTGGATGGCGGAGCCTCTGCCTTGATATCCACGTCCTTGCGTAGCAGGTGGAGATGGTGGTGATGGTGGAGGTGGTGGTAGGACCCGCTCTCCGCTTCCCCCTTGAAGCCGTCCTCCTCAAAGCCCCGGCCATTTCTGCTCGACCAGCGGGTACCGCCTCCACCCCCGCCGTTGTCGTCTTCACGGCAGGTACCGTCCGGCCCGGAGAGGTGACTCCCACCCGCCGGCCGGCCCACGTGCTGGTACGCCAGCTGCTGGCTGCACGCCTTCACCACGTCGTACATGTGCAGGTAGCTGGCGGCCGCCAGCAGGTCCTCGGGTGGCAGGGCATCCACCCTGAGGCTGCCCTGGTACATGAAGTCGAGGAGGATGGCGAACGCTGAGGGCGTCACCATCTCCGGGTTGAGGTCGATGACGCAGGCGTGGTCCGGGTCGCCCTCCGAGCCGGCGACGGGCCGGCGCTCCCCCGTCGCGCCGTCGCCGTGCTCCGATTCCCGTGGCGTCCCATCACCCCGATGGCGGGCCGTGTCTCGCTTCCCGGCCCTCTCCCTTGACGGCCGATCCGTCGGCCCGCAGCCGTTGACGAGGCGGGCGTCGTCGGGAACGACGCCGCTCGGCGCGTCTCCGTCACCGCCTCGGAGGCACGGGGACCTTTCGTCCACGCCGCCCCCGCTGCCCCCGTCCCCGCGGCCGGTGCCGCCTTCCTCCTCGCGGCGCCTCTCGCCGCCGTTCTGCCGCTCGCGTCTCGCCACCACCCCGCCGCCCGGTAGGCGCTCCTCTCTGAAGCGCCCGTGCCTCGGCCCGCGCTCCGCCTCATCTCGCCCGCGGCAGCTTTCGGCACTCTCCGCGTCGCCGAGACGCTCGTCCTCGAGGCGCGCTCGAAACGCCGCCGCCGTGTCGCTGATAATGGCGTGCGGCCGGTGGTTCCCTCCGCCGGCCCCGTGCAGGAGAAAGCCGTCGCTCCGTCGGGGCCATGCGCCTTGACAGCCGTAGCCTTCGTCAACGGGGGGGCGGCGGCAGCGATTATGGACGTCGTGGTCCGGCTCGGCCCTCTCCCATTTCACTCTGCGCCTCTCGCCGGTCGCCACCCCCTTCTCGTCCACCTCCGCGCCGAGTCCGCCGTCGCCGCCACCCTCACTGTCCCCGTCGAAGCGCTCGCGTTTGGCAGGACGGTCGGTGGGCCCGGGGCTGGGCACCGCACGGTGCCCGGCGCGGCACGACAGTTGGAAGTGGAGGCTGCAGGCGGCGAGGACGGCTCGATGGGCGCGGAAGTGTGCGGGCCCCACGCGCACCGTCACGTCGCACAGGAAGCCGCGCAGCAGCTGTTGCCTCAGGCCCCGCAGCAGCCGCTCGCCGTGGCCCGGGAACTCCATCCTCCACTGCTCATAGCCTGCGGCAAGAGGGCAGGAGGAGGGCAGAGGTCGGCACGGGGCGAGTGGGTCGGGGGTGTTGGGGGTTATTCGAGACGACGGTCACTTCAGACAATGTCTGGCTGTCTGTCTGTCCGGACCGCGGGCTGCGAGGGGTGAAGTTTCTGCCGATGACTCAAACCCCGGAGCATGGTCTTGTCCACGCAAATGCCGTTAAGTACGCATGAACACGCAAACCTCGCCCGCTCCGTGGTTTACAATTTGGTGCTTTTGCTCAAATCAGTGATGGTTTGCGTAAGTAAAAATGGTTGAGAAAGTGATGGAAAAAAAACGTAAACATTTCCTCGTTTGGAAACGCATATAGCAGTTTAGACCAGGATGTGTATTAAAAAAAGAAAGGTGTATGGGAAAAAGTTAAAGAGAATTGCTGTTCTTGTTTGAACAAACATTGGCACATGGCAGTGCCTACTTCACAAACCCACGCTGACCAGTGTGATGTGAAATCAGATTTCTAAACACACCCACACAAGTGACAGTGGCAACGGGGACGAGGCCTTCATCCAGCAGTGGATTGACAACGGCTATAAAATACCTGCAATGATTGCGGTAAGGGAAGTAGGCCTGGATTGTTCGTACTTCTAATTGGCAGCCAACGTCACTTTCTGCTCAAAAATTCCAAGCAGGGCCCTCTTCAAACCAGTCTTGAGGCTCGGTGAGGCTATCGTGGATTATTTAATCAACATTATTTGGATTTTCTTGGGAGATATATTTTTCTTGTTTGTACAAATTCTTGTCCCCGTATCCCTGTGCCTCTTTTCTCTCCGACCCCCCCCCCCCCCCCCCGCATACGATAAGATAGTCCATAAATTACGTCACGCGATTTTGGACGATTTTTGACCCCCCCCCCCCTTCGTCACACGGCGTCACAGAAAGTCAGACCCCCCTCAAATATGACGTCACGAAGCTCTGCCCCCCCCAAAAAAATTAAATAGGCTTCAAATCATTTTAAACTATTGTCATTGTAGTGCGCATTTAATGTGGCGCTGCACTCTGATGTTGTAGGAGAAAACATTTATTAAAAAGTCTATTTAATTAAGTAGAACGTGTTGTCTATATTTATTTAAAAGTTGCGCATTTTGATGTGACGTCACATTTCTCAACCCCCCCCCCCCCCCTCGTCACACATCGTCACAAATGTCTGACCCCCCCCCCCCCCCTGTGCATGTGGTCATGTATGGACGGCCCCTTAGAGCGCTGTAAATATATAAACGGGTCATAACCCTCCGACACAGCCACTACGGTTTGCTTGCGTTGTGGCCGAAACGTCGTGAGAATTATTTTATTATGTTTTATTTTTATTGCTTTAATATTTCCATTCTACGTGGCTTTACCGAAAGAACCAAGAAAACGACTAATTAATTAATAACAATAATAACACGCTCGCAATACCACACCCCTGAACGCCAAGGAATCTCAATGCTTCAGCCAACGAGCCTTACTCAATTTAGATTTAAAGCTTTCGTGACTGGGAAATAATAAAATAATAAAAATATAAAACAATACAAATTCTCACGACGTTTCGACTGCAACACAAGCATTCATCATCAGTAAATCGCTTTCCGTGGTGCTGACGTTAGGAAAACCGCCACTTTTTTCAAATGTTCTTGCTGTGGATGTCACACTAGATGATGATTGCCTGTGTTGCAGTCGAAACGTCGTGAGAATTTTTTTTGTTTTATATTTTTATTATTTTAGTATTTCCCTTCTACGTGACTTTACCGAAAGAACCAAGAATATATAGCCTTATTCAGTGAAATATTTCAACGTTGACGATGATTGATGCTCCTATCCTGCTATAAATTCCCACGTGATGAGCCACTTTTTTGAGCGATCATTTATGACGGCCAAGTCGTTTCTGAAAAATAACTAGTAGCTCAGTGGGCCTTACCTGGTAAAATAAAAAATTTTAGTTTTAGTTTATTTATTGTTAGTTACTTACATTTCCTATACTTTGCACTCCAATCGTTCAAAAAAAAAATGTGTTTGTTGTTGTAACTTTCTGACCCGCCCCTATTGGACATTCGTGAAAAAAACAGCTTCACACCACATCGGATTTTGTCCGGGAAAAATACAGGGCGGCTTCCAATTGACTCTCTCACTCTTTGCTGCTTGTACATCCCTGCTCCCTCAATCACCACTGGAGTTCTCTACGATTGTGAGCGCGTGGGCTTTGGGGTCATGTGGAGCCATGAGTTACTTGATTGAGCCATCATCACGTGTGGCCAGGTCGCTTCTGAAGCAAAAGCTATATAGCCAGTGGGCCTTACCTGCTATTTTAAAACATAGTTTAGTTTTTATTTAAAGCTTTCGTGACTACAGGGATTCATATTCTTGGTTCTTTCGGTAAAGTCACGTAGAATGGAAACAATAAAATGATAAAAATATAAAACAATACAATTATAAAAATATAAAATAATTAAATTCCCACGACGTGTCGACCGCAACACAAACAATCATCATCAGGTGTGAAAAACACAGCAAGAAAATGTTCTTGCTGTGTTCTCTTGCTGTGTTTATCACACCTAATGATGATTGCTTGTGTTGTGGTCGAAACGTGGTGAGAATTTTATTGTTTTATATTTGTATTATTTGATTGTTTCCCTTCTACGTGACTTTACCGAAAGAACCAAGAATATAGTTTCGTTTATAATGCCCATAATAGACAATGACCATGTTTGGTCTTCATCGGTGCGCTACGAGTTTTATGTAATGCGACGAGTAACAGGCCATGCTTTCCCACCTGATGACGGACGCTTGTGTTGCGCCCGTGATTTATTTTATGTTATACCCACGTGACTTTACCGAAAGAACCAAAGAGTATGAGTATATGTACGCCCGGCAGCTTGGTCTCGTCATGGTTGGTCGCGCTCAGCTCCCTGGCGGGGACGTTGTCAGGCTTGATGATTATCGACCACACACGGTCTAGTTTAGAGCAACCCCCGCTTATTTGCATCTTTGTTAACAGCATATTAAAGTAAAACGTTTAAAAATATGTTCAATTCAGCACATAGTAGGAGGTTTTCCGCCACAGCCATTATTGTGAATCGTCATTTGATGTCTGGTTTATGTCGCATAGTAATGACCTGGTAAAATGTAATCTGTTCTGACAGCTAAACAGATTACATCGTCACGCGATGTACGGGAATTTAACGATGCGCCAATTATGATTGTTTTAGCTCACTCTCTCTGGTAAGTTAAACAATTCTCACACCCACATTTGGCGATGCTGGGCGGTGGAGGGTTACATGGCAACAACAACAACACAAATGTCCCTAGATCAATTCTGCGGACTAACCCCAAAAAATATATCTTTTGATCAAAGTTAATAATATTCAGCTGACATACGCTCAGTGCCAGATTATCCGAGTAGCAAAACTAGCACATGTAGCTACGGGCCCCACACTTTGAAGGGCCCCGCGCTAAATGCTTTCAGCTATCAATTCTGGTTCAGTGATTCTGCACTTGCTCTATTACTATAGTACTATACTGCCTTCAACTTTTATGAACGACTGGGTGTTTAAGGTTAGCGATTTGTCGTATTATCTGGCTGTAGAGCAAATGAAAAAATACAATTACTTTACTATGCCAGTAAAAAATGTATTAGTTTTAATATTTACGTGTTTTTTTAGGGCCCCTTTGTAACATATGCTACAGGCACTGCACTCGCTTAATCCGGCAGTGTTCAGGGCGTGGCTGTGGGGGACATGGAGAGTGGCTGCGGGCTAATTGCGTGCTCTCTCACTCTCTCGCTCTCTCTCTCTCATGGACATCGGGATCTGATAGAGGCCACCGCACCCTCGCAGCATTGGCAAGCTGCAAGCGAAGTTCGACCGACTCGCCCAAGTCGGCTTCGGAAAATCTGTCCCGACGGCGTTCCCAAAGAGTTCGTATACATGCACGTACGCCAATTGTACGTAGCCAACCGTGCTCATCGGACGTGCGGTGGAAGCACAACAAGCTAAACACAAAAAAGTAGTTCGAAAGATATTAGTTTTTAATCTAGATGATGATATAAAAGTACATGGCTCCAGGTGTCTCCCCTAATATCGGAAGGAAGAGCGTTCCAGACGGCCGCAGAAGTGCATCTGAGAGCGCCACGCGATGCGGTGAGACCGTCTTTGTTCGATGGCCGTCCAGAAGCCGCTGCTGCCAGGATGACCGGAGTTTGCAGTGATGATGGTTTATGCTAATTGGCGAGATCAGCAGCGAGGTATTGTGGCTCATTTGTGGAAAGCACTTTGGGTGTAATGAGTGCAACCTCATAATTGTATTCGTTCTGCAACCGGAAGCCAACGCAGCTCAGCGGGACATCGGACAGACGCGGTCGGATCTTGCAGTACCCGTCACGACACGTGCCAAAAGAATGTTACACATGCTGCAGCTTGGAAATTTTGTTGTTGTTGCCAGACCTCGTCGTGCTTTTTGTTGACGTGTAACTCACTGTGCAGGGCAAAAGGGCTACCTGAACGGTGGGATGACGCGTGGCACAATCTACCCGGAGTTAAGATGTATCGGCGCTCTTTGAAAAAGGTACGACCATAATGGACATTTGCCCCAATGAGCCCTGCAGTACTTCCACCCCTTCGTTGCAATTGTCTCGCGACCCTCTTTGTCTCGCGACGGCGGAAGTTGTGGGGAGGAGCCGGCTGGGAAAGGGGTCCCTGTGAGCGGTGCGTGGGGTGGCGCCAATGTTGGAAAAGAGTGAATCCACTCCACCGCGTGGGGGCGGGCAGCTAGCGGCTGAGTGGGCGTGGTTAGTGAAAAGTGGGCGGTGGCCGAACGAGACAGGTTGCGGTCGGCTCATGCCTGTGACCTCCACACCCCCCCTCCCCCCCCTTGGCTGAGCCTCGCCGAAATGTTGTCGGCTTTTAGCTCACGAACGAACAAAAATAACAGCAGCAACGGCGGTCTCTGCAGTCGGTGCCTGAAGGCGGTGCATCTCATTTAGGCATGGCCAAAA